TGCGGTTTCCATACGCACTTATCTTTTGTTCATTTTAATCTTTATTCATGGACAATTAATTTTCATAATGTGAATGTATTTATCTCAAAACAATGTCTGGATTGATTACTCTAAGAGGCAATTCTCCCTAAAAATTCAGAAAGCACCAGATTAACCTTCACCATGGAGACATCTGCCAAATTGCTAATGCAACTGGTTAAAACACACGCGCACATACACAGAGTATCTCTGAAGCAGAACGGTATCTGAAACCAGTATTTATTTTCCATAGAACCCTGACAGACAACTTTAAAAAGACACACAATGAGAAAGTATCCTCTCCTCTGTTAGGAGATATTCTGAGGCTACAGCTATAATTCTACCTACACTCCACAAAAGTCAAATTGCTTAAACAGTTTTTCAAATTTTAAAATAAATCCAATCCTTTTATGCTCACTGAAAGCATATCAAGTAGAGGTATTCACAGCAACTGCTATAATAAACACCTACAACTAAGAGACTTAACCATAATTCCAAGACAAGCCATTTTTTGTTTTTCCCATCCAAGATCTTATTTCTATTGTTTGTTAAAAATGACATTTCTAATTCGTCATTCTACACCATTATCCATATTCCATATGGATATGTAACATTTTGATGGCACAGTTATCAGTACAGTGACTTTACTGTTTCTGATAATAAACTAGAGTACCCAAAGAGTTCACAAGAAAACTTCTAGAGCTAACTGAGGAATTTAGCAAAGTTGCAGGGTGCAAGGTCAATAAACAAAAATCAGCTGAGTTTCTGTATACCAGCAATGAGAAATCTGAAAGGGAAATTTGGGAAACAATTCCATTTACAATACAACTAAGAGAATAAAATACCTAGGAATGAATCTAACCAGGCACACGAAGGACTTATACCATGAAAACTATAAAATACTGCTGAAAGAGATTAAAAAAGACTTAAACAAATGGAAAGATGTTCAATGTTCATGGACTGGAAGACTTAATATTGTTAAAATGTCAATACTACCCAAAGCGATCTACAGATTGAACGAAATCTTGATCAAAATTCTAACAGCCTTCTTTACAGAAACAGAAAAACCAATCCTCAACTTTATACGGAATGGCAAGAGGCCCTGAACAGCTAAAACAATGTTGAAAGAGAAGAACAGAGCAGGGAGGCTCACATCTCCTGATTTTAAAACACAGTATACAGCTACAGTAATCAAAACAGCCTGGTACTGGTATAACACTAGACACATAGACCAATGGAACAGAATTGAGAGTCCATAAATAAACCCACACATCCATACTCAACTGATTTTTGACAAGGGTACTAAATCCATTCGATGGGGAAAAAAGAGTCTCTTCAATAAACAGTGTTAGCAATACTGGATTTCCACATGCAGAAAAATGAAGAAGGATCCATGCCTCATACCATACACAAAAACAAATTCAAAACTGGATTAAGGACCCAAATGTACAAGCTAAAATCGTAAAATTCTTAGAAGAAAAAGCAGGGGCAATGCTGTCAGGCCTAGTTTTTAACAATGGATTATCTAATATAATAACAAAAGGACAAAAACAGCAGAAGACAAAATCTAAAAACGGAATCCTATAAAAATTAAACTTTTGTTCATCAAAAGACTGTACCAAAAAAATGAAAAGACAAGCTACCAACTGGGAGAATATCTTCAGAAACCAAGAATCTAATAATCAACATACATATAAACCTTTAACAACTTAACAACAAAGACACATATAACCCAACCATTAAATGGGCAAAGGACTTGAACAGAATTTCACCAAAGAGAACATTCAAATGGCCATCAAACACATGAAAAGATGCTCAGCGTCATCAGCCATCAGAGAGATGCAAATCAAAACCACAGTGAGATACCATTTCACTCCTACTAGGATGGGTAAGGAGCCCTGGTGGCACCGTGGTTAAGAGCTCAGCTGTTAACCAAAAGGTCAGCAGTTCAAATCCATCAGCCACTCCTTGGAAAACCTATGTCCTATAGGGTCACTAGGAGTCAGAACCAACTCAGTGGCACCTAATAACAACTGAATGGGTAAGATTAAAAAAAAATACAGAAAATAACAAATGCTGGAGAGGATGTGGGGAAACTGAAACCCTTAACCATTGCTGGTGGGAATGCAAAATGGTACAGCTGTTGTGGAATACAGTGTGGCAGTTCCTCAAAAAACTAAAAACAGAACTACCATATGACCCAGCAACTCCACTCCTAGGTATATACCCAAAAGACTTGAAAGCAGAGACTCAAAAAGAGATTTGTACACCAACGTTCACTGCAGCATTATTCACAATAGCCAAAAGCTGGAAACAACCTAAATGTCCACCAACAGATGAATGGATAAACAAAATGTGGTACATACACACAATGGAATACTACTCAGCCAGTACGAAAAATGAAGGCAGCATGGATGGAGCCTAAAGACATTATGCTGAGTGAAATAAACCAATCACAAAGTGACAAATATTGTATGGGTTCACCTATACAAAGACAAGAAAAGGCAAATGTATAGAGACCAAAGTGTATTAGTGGTTACCAGGGGCGGGAGGGAGGGGGAAAAGCGGGCGAACAGTGATGGAAAAATCGCACTAAGGGTAGAGATGTACAGCTGATTATTGTAATTGCGGTCAATAAGTTATATACCTGCAAAAAGATGAACTGGCAAAAGTTGTGTGATAGAAAAAAAAAAGTTGTGTGATAGATACACTTACAACAACAAAAAGAGTAGTTGCTGAGGCTGTTTATCTACAACCAGACACCTCATGGGATTTGGTTCCTTCGTTTGGAGGTTTAGAGTCATGATTTCATGGGACATCCCAGTTAATTGACCTAATAAAACGTTTGGTGCTTCTCTTCTACCTCCTAGTTTGTTAAGTAGTGCCTGAGGTCTTAAAAGCTTGCAAGTGGCCATCCAAGGCACAATAATTGGTCCCTATTCACCTGAAGCAAGAGAGAAAGAATGAGAATCAGGAATAGGAGGAGGATATAGAATGTGTGGTTAACATACTCCATGAACAACTGCCTCCTTTGCCATGAGACCAGAAGAACTAGATGGTGCCCGACTACCATTACTGAACATTTTGATAAAAGATTCCATAGAAGAATCTTGATCAAAAGGAGGAATATGTAGAACAGAATTTCAAATTCTCATGGTCTCTAGAATTTCTGGAACCACAGAAGGTGGATGAACCCCTGAAACTATTGCCCTGAGATAAACTTTAAACCTTAAACCAAAAATACCTCCTGAAGTCATCTTAAAACTGAACAACAGATTAGCTTAACTAGTAAAAAAAGGTCTGCCTTGAGCATTATGCTCTTTTAATAACTATCTATACGGGATCAAACTGACAATAGCAACTCCAAAGATTAGACAGGAACCTTAGGAGGCAGTGAGTTTATGTCAGAGGGAGGAACAACTCAGAAAAGGAGGGTGACACTGGCTGCACAACTCGAAGAACATAATCAATGTCACAAAACTGTACATGTAGAAACTGTTGAACTGGTGTGTTATGCTGTGTATATTCTCAACAACAACAAAACAAAATTTAGGAAAAAAATAAATAAATAAACTAGAGTAATAAATCCAAAGCAATTAACATGGTTTTACCACTTAAGATTGCCTACTAACTTTATGTACACACCAAATGATACGATAGAAGTTGATAACCTACCAAATTGTGATAGATGGAGGTTTACCAAAAATTTTATAGACATTTAGGATGTCTTAAAACAGAAAAAGCATCAGTACAAATATTTGCTTACTCAAAACTGTATGTTACTTTTCTCAATAAACTGCTTTATCTCCTTCCTAGATAAACTTTATTTTCATTAAAGCACGTGAAATCAACCTGGTGTAAACTTTCTGAGCACCTGGAATAAGAAAAGTAACACAGAAAAATAAGAAATCTATGAAAATGACCAATACACAAGATGATACGGGGAACAGGTAAAATGTACTATAAATGCAAGCTACTATGAGTCAACTTTCTGGCAGAGTCCAAAACCCTCTTTTAAACGAATGTAAGGCTAAGCGCAAACTTAAGTAAAGTTAAATACAAAATATTTCACTCTTAATTCTACTGCTGACCTGCGCATTCTTCTTTTCAATGGTACAAAACTGGAGGGAATAATAAGATGGTAACCGATCGTATCGCATCGCTCACGATGCACAACTACAACTCTTACAAAGAATTCAGTCCTGCCCGGTTCTGTTTTAAAAACCTTTCCTGTAATAGCTTACATCATTTTCCTCTATACATATCTTTCCGGTCAGATACCTAAATCGAAGTTTAAAGGACATCTCTCTTAGGTAGGAGGGGACGGTTCAGTAGGATGGGCGTGAGGACCTTTCAAACACATTTTTAAGCGCTGAGGGAAAATGTCACCCGAATAAGCCCGGAGAGTTAAGCGGCTCACGATGCACGTTTAAATTTCTTATGACCCTTTGAATGTTCAGAGATTCAACTCGACAAAAACAGGGACCGGCTTTTCGTTTTGTTATTCGGGGGTTATGAAGGCTGTCCTGGATAACGGGCTTGGTCTAGTCTTTTAAATCTCAGGCCTCCCTGTCAGATAGGTGCCTCTCGCCACCCACCAGCCCCAAAGTTCCTCGCGTCCTGCCGCCGGGAGCAGACACCGAGGGGCCGAACCTCTGCAATCACCCCCGGGTACCCGGGAACAATGCAGGGCTCCCCGGCGCCCACGCTCGGGCCCCGGGAGGGGGAAGGGGAAGCCGTTCTCCGCCCGCGCGGGGAAACAAAAGGCGCCGCGGGGCCAGAGCCGGGCGCCCGCGATTCGCAGGGCCGGCGCCCGGCGGGGAAGTCGCGGGGAAAACTTTCCGAGGGGCCGGGCGGCGGAGCGAAGGCCCGGCCTCACTCTCGCCGCGCCGCTCGGCACAATAGCCGGGCCGAGCGCGGGAAGGCCCGGCCGCCACTCCCCAGCCCCGATCCCGACTCCAGCCCGGGCCTGGGCCCCGTACCTGGTGGTTCTCCTTCCTGCCGCCCGCGGCCGCCGCCGGCCCGCCTGGGCCACTCGTCATGTTCACGTACAGGGAGCGGGTGAGCGGACTCCGCAGCGTCCACATCCTCCGCGCCAGCCACACGGACGCCAGGCTCAGGCACAGCCAGCCCGCGAACAGTCTCATTGGGGGCCGCAGCCGCTCACTCCGATCACCGCCGGCGCCGGGGCGAGGAGGAGGAGGCGCCGCCGCCTCCGGCCACCACCGCCACCGCCAGGGCTCGAGCCATCGCGCTCAACTTGCCCATCCAGCCCCACCAGGGCCGAGGCAAGGGGGCGGGGAGGAGCGGCCAGCGCACAGCCTTCCCACCGCCTCCTTCCTTTCCGCCCGCGGAACGCCGCCGCCCACGGCGCCAGTTTCCACCCGGAGCAAGTACAAGCTGCTGGGGCGCGCTCTCTCCGGAGCGCGCTCCCTTGCTCTAGTCGGTAGGACGGCTGGGAGGCGGGACAAAGAGAGCGCGCATTCGCCTGGCGCGCGCCCCCGCCTGCCGTCTCTGCCGCGGCTCCACGTAATGGCGGAGACGATTTAAATTTTTTAGGGGAGGTGAGCTCACTTCCGAAGGCGGTAACTGAAGCCTCTTCTCCTTCCAAGGCAGTGCTTGCAGGACCTCTGGTCGTTGCCAATGGGCTCCTCATCCCACCCCCAGGAAGAGCCTGCACTTTGTTGAGCAGATTGACCGGGGGCGGGTCTCATCGCTTTCGCGCGTCCAAACGTTCAGACTCAAGTCTTTCCCAGGGACAAACGACGCTAGTTCTTAACTGTTAAGAGCACGGCTACGAGCCGACAAGCCAGAACCCTATTCCAAGGTTCTTCACCTCGCTTCTCAGAGCTGCAAAGCAGACAGGAATCTAGGGAAGAGAACAGCCCCACCACCACCACCACCGGTTCTCCCAAGCCTGGCCAGTTGCTGGCTACGTGTTTCTAAGAGGCGTCAGGGAAAGCTCTGCCTTTGTTAAAAGCTTCTGCAGCTGGGGCACCTGCAAGTAACGTTTTGATGTGTTGATGACTCTGCCCAAGGATGAAGACCTCAAATTAGCGTCTCTGGCTGCTCCTTCCTTGAACTCACAGACCGAAGTTGGAACAGTCTTAGGCGAACGAAGCTCTGGGAGCAGTATTTACCTGGATGTTTCTTTGATCATTTATAGGACGGAGAGAGTTAGCAACGTCTCAAAACTGAAGGGTTACACTGTGTTCCTGTGCCTAACGTTCTTCCTGCTGCTACTCAAGCTGCAACTAAGTAACATTTCATGAGTCCTCGTAACTTTAATAACGCTGCCTTAGGTTTGTCGGTTTAGAAAATGCTTTTAACTGAACCAGAAATAATATAAATACACTTTATTTTAGTTCAAAACAAAAGAAACAAACTTTTCAGTCAATTCCATATTGCCCTTCAGAGCTTTTCATTTCTGGAACAGTGGTGGGGTGATCAACTGATGAGAAACAAAATCGTTCCTTACCCACAAATATTTCTGTTAGCTTCTAAGAATCTCAGCTTGGCACATTTCACTAAGATGGACATCTTGTTACCTAATGTTACATAGGCTCTAACAAAACAAGGGTGCCGTGGAGAGGTACTTCGTTCTCTCTTTCCAGTTCTGTGTACTCCCTGACTGCTTCCTGCCAAAACCCCAAAGAGCCTCCACCTTACTAAATCTAGTTCAAACCCCTAGTGGTCCTGGCTCAAGTCATCAAAAAGGAGCTATAGTAGCAAGTCCAAATAACTCAGTTTGCTTACTGTGTCACCTCTCCCTCCTGTCTCTTGGGATCAGTGCCAAAAGAAAGCCTTCACCTTTTCATGGCATGTTTTATTTCTGAAGACAAAGGAGAAAAGAAAAAGGTATGCCCCCCAACTATAGAGTAAGCCTGCTGCACTGCAACTCAAGAGACACAAAATGTATCAAATGAACAAGAAGCAGCTAGATGCTGCTCTAGCCTGAAGGGTTTGGGGTCAGTTGACTCCCAAGAAGCCCAGCATCTCAAACGAGCAGATTTTTGCTTCATACCTGAGCAGCCAGCCTAGAACTATAGACCGCCTACACATTTAAAATACTCTCTAATAATCACAAGATACTCAAATGCATGTTATTTACACTTAGCAAGCACAGGAAGAAACCAAAGTATAGTGTGATTCAAATGATTTGCCTAAAGGTAGCAGAGCAAATTCAATAGCAGACCTTATCATAGAACCTGGTATCCCAGTTCTTGGTCCTTCGATCCATCTAAGAAGCCTCGCTGTCTCTCTCTGTTCAGAGAGCCTCCTGAATTACAAATGAGGAGGAAGGAAAACAGCAAGAGTAAATACACTAAGCAGAAGTTCAGATGATCCTCAGAGACTGCCCCCTTCCTTCATCTACTGGAATGTCACTGTATATTAAAACCTCAATTATCCATAATGGAGAGGGAAAGGCGCACAGATAACACCCAAAAGCCAAAGGTGAACCAATATCCTTTCTAACTTGGCTTTGAAATTCAGTCAGTGATATTCAAAAGACACATAGCTGACACCTTCTGTGTGCCAGCCACCCCTCACTGCCCTCCTGACCAGGAGCTCAGGTGTCTAGCTTGGCCTTTAGTTGGTGGAAACCTTGGGTCACAGCCCTGCACACAGGCTAAAATTTTGACTGGATTACTTTCCTATCTAGAATTCTACAGAAGGGCTTTTTTTTTTTTTTTCTTTCTTAAACTACAAGTTATGGCATTTTCCTGTTCTGTTTTCAAGTGCAAAGTGTGCAATGTTAAGAGAACCCAAAGGGTGAGAGATATGGATCTGTACAGTATACCAAATACAGTATACCAAACATGGTGGTCACTGTTGGTCTTGCTATCTCCCTGAGGGGATGATGGTCTGAAAAAAACTCATATCATCATGTGTTCATGGCCTTAGATTTGTCTCTGTGTGTGTGTGGCGGGGGGGATGTAGATTGAGCCAAATCAATTTATTACCAATTCTGTTCTGACACCAGCTAAGGGGGCCACCAACCAAAGTTGAAGGGGCGGGGGCTGCTTTGTCAGTGGGCCAGAAAAACTAAGCCACCTGACGCCAAAGGGGTGGGGTCACCACTCAGGTGTACCAGAAGAATGGGGCCACCCAGAGCTGAGGGAGAGGGTTTGCCATCCCAGTGGGTCTCCAAGGCCAGGCTGATGTGCAGGCCTCAGGGGCCTCCACCCAGAATCCACAGAGTGGAGCAATTATCCAGATGTGTGATTACAGTTTTATTATAACAAAAAGGATACAAATGAAGAGACACATAGTGGGAGGTCTGGGAGGGTTCCCAACATGGAACTTCCATGTTCCAAAAAGGAACACGCTACCCTCCCCTAGGAAGCCCCAGATTTTTTTTTTATGCTTCTTAATAATGTTTTGTGACGTGTCACAGAAAGGTGCAAGTTTACCCCAATGTATTCAATAGCTGTGTTCTTTAAGCAATGGGCACCTCCAAAAAATAAAATTAGTTAAGTGTAGGGGATTTTTAAGGAGCTCTGGTGTCAAAACGGTTAAGCTCTCAGCTACTAAGTGAAAGGTTGTTCAAACCTACGCAGCTGCTCTGTGAGAGAAAGACCTGGCAATCTGCTTCCATAAAGATTATACCCAAGAAAACCCTACTGGGCAGTCTACTCTGTCATACAGGGTTGCTATGAGTTGGAATGGACTCGACACCACACAACAACAACAGGATTTTTATTTGAATTTAGCTAATATAATTTCAGTCATATGCAAGTCACATCACTGTGGCTCTGACAAATTCGAAGTCAAGGTGAAACTATAAACAGCTAAAAAGTGCAGCATGAAGTAGGCCGCATTGAACCAGGAGTTAAAAAGACCTATGGTTAAGAGCTACAGCTGCTAACCAAAAGGTCAGCAGTTTGAATCCACCAGCTGCTCCATGGAAACCCTATAGGGTAGTTCTCATCTCTTACAGGGTCGGTATGAGTCGGAATCAACTTGATGGCAACAGGTTTAGTTTTTGTTTTTTTTTTTTAGGGTCTCTATAGGGTCACTATGAGTCAGCACTGACTTGATGGCAACGGGTTTTTTTGGTATAGAATAAGTACAGATAACACAGCATACTCCATTGGAGATCTCCCAGGGCTACTCGTTAGTGTAGTGGTTTATCCTGTGCTCTTGAGACAGACCACCTGGTTTTTTGGTTTATTTGTTTTGGGTTTTTTTTTTTTTTTTGTGTGTGTGTGTGTGTGTGTGTGTGCTTTAGATGAAGGTTTACGGAGCAAATTAGTTTATCATTAAATAATAAATACACATATTGTTTTGTGACATTGGTTGCCAAGCCCATGACGTGTCAACGCTCTCCCCTTCTCGACATTGGGTTCCCCATTGCCAGCTTTACTGTCCCTTCCTGCCTTCCCCGTCCTTGCTCCTGGGCTAGTGAGCCCATTTAATCTTGTTTTGTTTTATGGACCTGTCTAATCTTTCAAACCACCTGTTTTTGAAGCCTGGTACTACACTTCTTTGTTATGCAATTTGAGGCAAATTACTTAATCTCACCAGGTCTTAGTTTCCTCATCTGTAAAATGGGGATAACAATGGTTACCTATCTCATGAGGATATTGTGAGGATTAAATTATATATTCTTCATATAAAGACAGTGCCTCAACACACCGTACGCACTCAAAAATGCGTTAATTTGTTCCTGTTTTCCCTTTAACTTGGATAAATCAACCTCTTCTGAACCTGTTTCCTCACTTATAAAATGAGGGTCAGGATCCTGAGTTGCTTACTTCACAATATGTCTGTGAGAATCCAATGATCTGAAAGCTTCATAAACTGTAGAACAGCTAACTAAGGTTATTATAATACGGCTGTTCAGTCCTAACGTGACTGTAGCCTCTGCGAATTTATCCTCCATAAAATATCCTCAGAACCCATGATGGTAGCTTCTCCTCGTCATGTGTCCATCCCCAGACCCCTGCCTGGAGATTTCAAACCAAGGAGAGTGAGTATGAGAGTGGGAGTCAGGAATATAAAACCCAAAACTATAAAACACTCAAACTTGAAATCACAAAATCAGGCAGCAAATTCAAGCTGTTTGCTGTCAGCCTATCTTTTTAGTAGGAAAGTCTTTCCCTTGCTGATATATCAAACTCTTCCCAGCTTGCTCATTTGTCTCCCTCTGTGCCAGCCATGACATTTCTCCTGCTGACAGACCCTTCCCAACCCCCAGTGTCTCTCCCATGGCAATCTCGGACCCGTTTCCATTTATGTCAGGAATAATGTAGAAAGACAAAGAAATACCATTTTCATTTATTCAATAAATATTTGAGTACATACAATACACTAGGCACTGGACTTAGGGGAGTGGAAAGCAAAACAAACACAACGCCTTACCCTC